TTTGTTTGTACATAAAACTATTTCATAAATCATTTAACAAAAATATAATTTTATTGTCGGGTATAAACGATTTAGAAAATAAATCGGATCATATTCGATCACGCATGATTACAAGTGTCGAACTCTTTTCATGTACTATTAGGTCAACACGTTATAGGAACTTTTTGTTTTTAAACCTATTGTCGATTTCCATTGTTCGAGAAAAACAATTCATATTTTTTTTTATAACTTCTTTTGTTTACTCTCGAGAATAAGAATAGTTTTAGACTTAGAAGTTAAACAAAGGTCCTTAATAAATGTCAAACTATTCCGGTCACAATTGATAACCTTTTGCAAACTATCATTAAAACTACCTAGTAATAACAAACGATGATATTGAATTGAGACAAAATTATATATATAACGAATACAATAGTATTTTTTTTAGCTTCCGGCTCAACGACAACTATTCTCTATATTATAAATAGAAAAAAATAATAATTAATGCCCGTTAAAAAATGATTAGATTCGTTTAAGTTTGTTTATTTCATGCAAACTAAATAAAAACAAGAACAGTAAATAACAATTTGACACTTATGTGCATAAATATAAATAAGTCATTTGGTTATAATGAAGACTATTAATAAGGTCACATTGTTATAACAAAAATATGTATAGTTGATATTTTAATAAATACATATTTCTTTTATTTCTAATGAAATACAAATCTTTCTTCCTTTTTTTTCCTTATGTTTCGATAAACATGAAGAAGACGAACAATATGACAATCGCCAAGTAAAAGAAAGTTAAAACGGAAGTCAAGAATCAATGTAGCGTTCGTGCATGTCTTAACTATATGCTTGTTATCCTAGCCATCGTCATTATTATTGTTTGTTACTAGTGTAGTGACTATTTGTTGACATTCCTTTCTTTTTTTTTTTTTTTTTTATTAATTCTGTTGGCTTTGCTCTTGTCGTTCATTCCACAGTAGAAATAAAACAAACATTGTTCGAAAAAAAACAATCAGATCTTGATCATACTCGACACACTTACATAACGAACGTTCCAGTTCAATTCAGAATAAATATACAATGAAAAGTAGAGAACTTTTGACATAACGGTATATTTTTTCCTTTGTCTTCCTGTTTTTATCGTCATGCATTTTCTTCAGTGAAGCACAAACGATAAATCTTGGGTATGTTCGCTCCGCTAGTTAACTATGAAGTAAAGAAAAGAGAGTATAAATGTGTGCTTGCTGTTTTTTCATTGCGAACAAACGGAAGAAAGAGTATGCAGTGTACGCTATGGAAAAATATCGGATGACAATAGATGGAAAAGAGTCGAGCTCTATCCGACGTGTGTTGTGCGCTCATAGTAATAAGCGACGAAATGACGGAGTAGACTAGGAAAAGAATAAGAAGAAAAAGAAAGCGAACAAGCGCTTGAATAACCGTTTGGAAAATTGATTTTTATAAATAATTGAGCAAAGAGGAAGTATAAGAAGAAAGAAAGCACAAGAGCGATGCTCTTTGTGTTGTGTGAATGGCTTTTCGAGATCAGCATTTGACACAAAATATTTTTCTGTTACGTTAACGCTTTGAAAATAGACGCATTGGTGCATTACAATACAACTATGTTATGTAAATAGGATGTTTTCGAATATTTTTTGTTCATTTGTTTAATTGGGTTTGTACATGTGACACTTATCAAAATGTCTATGAGAGCACATATATATATACTACAACTGTTGATGTTCTAATGCGAGGGTCATATTCCCTAAAGGCAAAAAGACATAAAGAGCAGCAGAGAGTTAGCAAATGAGAAGACACGAGAGATGCGCGAACAAGTATGCCTCTGGTGCTTCGATGGTGATACATTGATTAGATAAAAATTGTTAAATGCATAGGCGAACAACCCTCTATTATTCATCATTGTTCCTTTTATATATATATATATATATAGATATATATATATGGACCATATTTACTTTGAAAACATCTATTCGAGCATAGGAAATGCATTGATGTTCATTAATATTATCTTATTTCTTAATATACGAAGTCAAAAACGTCCACCTGATTCAAATCAACAAACAGTTGATGTACTACACATGTGGATGTATGTATAACGTAGCCAATAGGGCTATAAACGCCTTCGAGAAACCTGTTTTATTAGAAGACTATTTTCAATCTCTCTCTCTCCCTCTCGCTTTATTTCTCTATCTCTTCGCGTCTCTTTCTTAGTTGTCGCTATATAGCTGATAAGGGAAAAGATGCGACATGAAAATACAATATTCCTTCTTGTTGCTATTTGACTAAGGCTCTTTCGCGTTCCATTTCTTCTCCTCCTATTTTCTCTTTTTCTTTTTTTTGCCTTGATCGACTATTTCAGGATAATAACTACCGCACTGACGTGCATCATCATTTTCATCGAAAATGAAGACGCTCATCTAATCATTTTCTCGTTCATCATCATTCTATTTACAACTTATCATCATCATTCCAGAATTGATTTGCAAGCTCTATCACTATTACCGTTATATCTCGATTCATTCTTTTGCACATATAAACAAAAGGACAAAATCAAATAATAAAAGACAATATTTTTTCATTTTTGTAATTCATTAAACAATGGGTCAACGAATGACACGTCGACAAGTTGATGAAGGTATTGAATTATATGAACAAAAAAATTATGATGCTGCCATTAAAAAATGGACAACAGCATTACCTAAAATGAAAGATAATCGATTACGTTTTTCTACACTTGGTCATTTAGCATCAGCATCACGTGATCGTGGTCGAAATAAAGATTATCTTCTTCATGCTGTACAACAAATTGATATAGCTCATGAACTTGATGATAATGTACTTCGTGCTCAAGCTTATTTAAATTTATCACGTGCAAATGAAATGCTTGCAGATTATTTTAAAGCTGTAAGTTATTCACGTTTAGCTATACAATATTCACAAACAACAGATTCTATACAAGGTTATGCTTTACTTGCTATGGCAGATTCTTATATAGGTTTATGTAATTTTCCAAAAGTACTTGAATGTCTTGATAAAGCTTTAAGTATTTCACATGAAAATGAAGATCATTTAATGGAAATTCAAGTACTTAACACAATGGGAAAAGTATTCCTTGTATTAAAAGATTTTCCGAAAGCACTTGCATTTCAACGTCGTGCCCATGAATTAGCTTTATCTAATGCTATATATGCCGGTGAACAAAATGCTAATGTTAGTGCAAAATTTGTACGTTTAACAAAACTAAAATTAGCAACACCATTAAGATTAATGGGTGATTTTCAAGGTGCAACTAAATGTGTTGAGGTTGATTACATAAAAAAAAAATATTTCTTTTTGAATAATAGAAAAAAAAAATTTATATTTATTATTATAATAATAGGAAGCAATGCGTTCAGCATCTAGTCTTGGTGATCGACCTGTTCAAGCGAAATGTCTTGTATGTATTGGAGACATTCAACGTTCTCAAAATAATAATGAGGTAGATAGAGAATCACACACAATTCTTGATGATGAATTTCTTCATATATATGTGTGTGTTATATATATTATTATTAAATAAATATCTCAGTGAGTTCAGGAAACGACATGTTTCCGTTTTAAGAATTTTATTGTCGAAAACAAAAAGTGATTTATCATGTTGGCATGATTTTTCTCAACAAAAAGCTAGCTATCAAAATGTAATTAAATGTATGTAAAAACTTCTTTAAACAATAAAACTCCGTTTTCTGAACTCATTCGAGACCTAGTTTGACTAGAATATTTGTTATCTTTTGTAATTATACATCAAGGTCGCTTGTAAAAAATATGAAGCAGCCATTCAAATGTTACAAGATATGAGTGATCGATATAGTTCTACGCTTGCTATGCTTGGTCTTATTAAAACTTTATTGGCACTCGATACCCATACACAAATGGTAAGCGTTGTTTTCTTCTTTTATTTATACATAGACAATTGTCATTGTAATTTTCTGTATGAATGAAAACTTATGATAATAAGAATGACAAACAAATATTCATAGATATACGAAGAAGAAAAAAAAAAAGAGAAGAAGAAGAAGAATGTTTTTCATATTAACATTTTAATAAGATTCTTTTGATGAATAACTAATTCATGTCATTATTAGTATTACAATCATAACAATTAGATTTGATGAGAAGATAGGTTTCATTTGTTTTCAGGTTTATAAATATTTCTAATGATAATTATTTCATTTGTTGTCTTAAATATAGGCGAAAGGATTAAGAAAATGAGATAGATAAGATCGGCTTAAAAGGAATATCTCTTTTTTTTTGCCTCTATTATAAGCAAATGAGTTAGACGTGCCATTGACAATCACAGTTTCATAAAACAATACAACATATTTGCAAGCACGTACGAATTCTAAATGAAAATGGATAAATAATTTTTTTTTTTATTTTTATTAATAAAATTTTTTTTTTCAGGCATCTGAAATTCTTGCAACAGCATTATCAACTGCAACATCAATGGGAAATAAATTAATGCAAGCTCGATGTCATCTATTGAATGAACGTATACTTGCTGCTGAAAATCAATTAGAAGATGCACGGCAAGCATTTGAAATAGCACAACGTCTTTATCGAGAAATTGATCTTATATGTACGGTGTGTAATGAACCTATGGGTATGCATCCAGATCACATACAAATATTAACATGTACACATCTTTTTCATGAAAAGTAAAAGAAAAGTAAAATACTTTTTAAATACTCTGTTTTTTTTTTCTTATTTTAGATGTATTTTAAATTTATTACAAAGATGGACATATGAAGCACAATCTTGTCCTAAATGTAATAAGAGTGTTTTATATAGTAGCAGTTATATTGCATTATCTTTGTTCTGATACAATGAAATTTTTTTTCTGGGTTTTTTTTTTCTTTTGAAAATTATATTTCAATTTGTTTTCTCGGTGAAATTTTGTATAAAGTTAATAAAATGATAATATATTTCTATCGGTAAATCATAAATTGTTTATTTTGAATATTTGTAAAAACCAGCACTTGTTTTTCTACCAAGTTTTCCTTCACGCACAAGCTTATTAATTAAATCACTTGTTCGAAATGTTGGTTCATCAGGATAACGTTTCTGCCATCCATCAGTAATAAATTTTGATGTATCTAAACCGACATAATCCATTAATTCAATTGGTCCCATTGGATAACCAGCACCTAATTTCATTGCAGTATCAATATCTATACAAAAAAAAAAAGAAATGAATAAATTATAAGAAATCTCAAATTAAAAATATCACCTTCAGGTGTTGCATCACCACGTTCAATCATTCGTACTGCTTCAGCATGATAAGGTATTAATAATCGATTAACAATAAAACCTGGAGTATCCTATAATACAACGATCAAATAACATGACTAATAATAGTATAAACAAACTTTGCAAGAAACAGTTGTTTTTTCTAATGCTTTACCAAAATTTAACATTGTTTGAAATGTTTCATCACTTGTTGATGATGTACGAATGACTTCAAGTAATTTCATAACAGGTCTGAAAAATAAATAAATAAATAAATAACGAGTGCACTATAAATATTTTCTATTTATTTCAGTCACGTTTGTAGATAGAAAAATTACGTCTACAAGAAAAGTCCCCGAACGGATTTATTGCTTTTAAATTGAGGTTATGTGCATTATGTGCACCCTAATGGGCTATGAATATTTTGAAAAGAATTTTATCCTTTAGCTTATTGCAGCCGATATCTACTATTTCTACAGTATTTTTCAGTGCAATGAAGAATACGAGGAAAACTGTTTTTCGCATTTCAAATCGAAGTTTTGCATAGAAACAACTATTAATGAAAGTAGTTTATTGCAAAAAGTTTCAGATATTTTCGTTGTTCCTATTGTAAGATACAAGCATGTTAAAAGTGCGTTTTTTTTTACATCGTTTAGATACATCTGTAAATTCGATGTTTTTAGTGCAAATGATAGTTGCCTGATAATATTCTCATTAATACCTGATTCTATGCAAAGTTCGAAAACTCTTTTTCCTCTTATTTCTCGTTGTATTGAAAAGTTCCGTAAAAATGCACTATATCGAAAAGCAATAAACTATAGGCACAAAGTCTTTTTTCGAGTATTCATAAACCATTTGGATCTACATAATGTAGATGCTTCCGGTACAAAAGCAATTAATCAGTTGAGGAACTTCCTTCATTAGTCTCGAAAATTCGTTATTCAGCTATTTACGAAATCATGCTGGAGAATCAGATTTAATCTTAAAAATTGCCTCGAGATTTGTATAGCACTTAGTTCCTCTAATTTGTATGCATTTCTAACATATAACAAATCATCTTCGGTTTTTTGTTCTCTATGACTTTAGTGTTTCGAGTATATTTATTTGTCATCTGGTAAGTCGATTGGCAGCTGCGTCTGGCAATCATTAAGAACCAATTATTCCATCATACACTGATATTTAGAAGGATCGATCTTCATTAATGAAAATTTGCGATAACTATCACATTGAATCAATATCAAAGTGACATATTTCAACGTGAAACTTCAATTATTTTTCAAGAAAAGAAGATGAAAAACTTATGGTGAATGTTGAAGCGTGTTATAAATGAAAACGAGTATTTCTACAAAATACAAGACTCACCAATCACTGTAAAACAGCTCGTCTCTGTGTCATTATGTTCTTTGAAAATTTTTGTCACTGCCTATCATGAGATAGATCTGTACTTATTAACATGATAAAGTTTCTATATCATGTTTCGTTCACCCAAAAGTAGAGGTGTAAGCCGATGAGCTAATCGGCGGCGGCGCCAGTTTTTTAAAACTTTTTAAAAATGCTCGGCGGCGCAGATTTGATATTCCAAGGTTGCACAGCGGCGGCGGCTCGAAAATTGTAAAATTTCGAATACCATCGGCGGCGCGGCGGCTGTAATTAAAGTGTCTCAGCGGCGGCGGCTTGAAGTTTAAAAAGTACTACATTATCATAAAGAAATTACTCTATGACCTTGTCTACACGAGGAGGATAATGCAGTATTCAATTCGTATTAAATCAATTCGTGTCTACATTTGTCAGTTAATGCATGAATCAGAATCCTAGACTTCGAAATGAATCGTAGTTTTTGTTCACTTCAATCATAGAGGAATCGCTCATTGAAAACTGCGTCAGTCTCATTGGAAAATCCAATCAGACTTTGATTGGTGCATCAACTTGAACGCGGTTCTGAATAGTGCAATAAATTTAATGCACTTTTTAAAAGTGTTTTAAATGTTTATTAACTGTTTAACCAATCATGTCTCTTAATTTACCATCAAAATTTTTAGTGTAGACAAGGCCTATTGCAATATCTCGGCCTTTTTGTCTTCAAACACATATGTGGAAAAACTTTAATTCACATCTAGACATAATAAAAAAAAAGTCTAAAATTAAAAATAAATATAATAGCTAGGGTAAATAATAAATGAAAAATCGCCACCACGATTGTTAATAAGTAAAGGCACTTAGCGTATTCAAGTTTGTTGTTTTTATTTTGTTTTTGTTAATCAAAATTTAAAATGCTCGTCTCTTCTTGTATTTATTAATATACCTAATATAAAGACATAAACAACTGAAATGATAACTTAGAATTTTCAACCAACACAGAATTAAGGGTTTGTTTACAATTTAGAACCCCAAGCACCTGACTGGTCAAAGAACCCGCACGAAAGTGAAGTTGAAGGCGAGGAAGATAATGAAGAAGAGATATATTGGGATTCTAAGATGTCAAAGTATCGAATTAAAGAAAATATAAATAAAACGTTTATTTATGCTAGTTGCCAACGGCGGCGGCGGCTCGAGAAGTTTAAAATTTTGAATACCATCGGCGGCGCGGCGGCTGCAATTAAAGTGTCTCAGCGGCGATGGCTTAAAAATTTCTAAAATTTCTACTGTCACGGCGGCGGCGGCTTAAAATTTTTCGAGTCTGTCGGCGGCGACGGCGGCTCAGCCGCACGGCTTACACCTCTACCCAAAAGTATAAATCTGTACTTATTTTTAAAAAATGATTTTTTTTTCGATTCTCTAGGGAATTTTTAACATTAGATCTAATGTGCTCGTGTGATTTTAAAGAATATAGAATAATGGGTCGTTTGAAACAGAACATAGTTTTCTTTCTACAAAGATAAGACAAGATAAAAAAGAATATACCAGAATAGTACACTTATTTCTGATGCATCCATTAAATAAAAATGAAGAATTATTTACACTGGATTAAAAAAATGTAAACCACCGAATTTATCTTGTCGCTGAACATCTTTTGCTATTTCTGTTATTGGTAATGATGATGTATTACTTGTAAAAATTGTATGTCTAACAAAAAAGCAAATATGAATATTTTCGAGAAGGCAACAAAAAAAAAGAAAATTTAACAATATAATGAAACAAACTTTGGTGCAACTTGATCAATTTGTTTAAATAATTTTTGTTTTACTTCAAGATTTTCAATAATAGCTTCAATAACAATATCTGTCGATTTAACAGCATCATTAACATTTAAACTTGTTTTAATACGATTTTTAATATCGTTTAAATATTTTTCACCTTTTTCTTGATCTTTATCAAATTTTTTTTTAATTATACGTTTTAAACTTGTTTCAATTATATTTAAACTTTTATCAAGAAATTCTTGTTTTTGATCAACAAGTATAACTTGATGATTAGTTGCAGCTGCAACCTATTCAAAAATTCTTAACTACAAAAGATTATTTCATTAAAAACTTGCTTGTGCTATTCCTGAGCCCATTAGACCACCTCCAATGACAGTCACTGTTTTAATACCTCCTCGAAGTAAACTAGCCATCTAAAAAAACATAATATTGTTTCGTTGCTCGATGTTTTGTTTTTCTTTTTTTAAATTTTATTTAACAAGAAAAAAAATAAGATTTATTAAAAAAACAATTACGTTGGCACACGTGCACGAATTGTTGCTGGTCTACGACAACAAAAACATTCTTCAAGTTGTTGTTCAGTTAATTTTGCAAAGCATTCACCACACATTTGATTATGTTGACAAGGATCATATTCATATGTAGCTACATTTCCATAACATACATGACAAATATCTTCAGTTGTGTCCAAATTATTTGGTATTGGCTCTGAAGTACTTCGACTTTTCATTGTTGATAATTGTAGATTAATTCGTTTTACTGGTTCACGGCTACTTTTACTTATTGATGGACCTTAAATATTGATTATATGTAAATAACGAGTTGTGCAAAAGTTTTGCATTAATTTTGTCTCCACTATAGCGTGACAACAAATCATCCTGGAATCTTGATAGTTTTCTTATTGGAAAGAGTGAAGTCTCTACTACAAAGCTATGTAAAATTATTCTGTTCTGAATATTTCCTGAAGGTTGAAAAGTTCTTTTCATGCTTCTGGAATGTGGAAGAAATTTTCCATTCAGTGAGAAAGTTAGTCTTATTTTCTGACTTTTACTAGGCTTTGTAGCGCTATGATAAAGCATTGTTAACAAGTAAAAATAAAGTTTTTCGAGTTATCAGCTAATAAGAGAACCTCTCCAGATGCTAAATCACTTTTTAACCAAGACGACGTTGATTTGATAAGCACTCGTGAGTAATAAAAAAGTTCGGAATAGTTTGGTTTGTCGAGTCTTCTTTCTTGAAACATTGAAATTGTACTGAATTTTTCAACAAATAGCTGATGTCCTTTTCAAGTTAGATGAAAAATCGACTTTGGTCTGCAAATGGTGCATGATAAAATGCTCTCAATGAGTTTAATTGATTGTGCAAATTGTAGCTTTTCTATTATTTCGTTTATGCAGGTGTAAATATATGTAAGAACAAAAGTTGCTCTTACATATGAGAGAATTTTAAATATTGAATAGTTCAGGATAGAGGATACTAGAAAATCTACAACTCGCCCAATGAACGAATCTCATCGATAACCTTGTTTATTCAAAGTTTGAAGTCAAAATTTGATATTCTATGTGACTCAAAAGTTTGAACAATCTACTAAAATGTCCGTATCTTAAGAACAATGACACCGAAAACCAAATCATTCTTCACTGTTCTATTGTTCGCTAGTTCTCACCAAATAAACATCGTCTCGGTCGAAAACTGTTTTAATACCTGGACATATTTCCTCCAGAGTTCCACGAGCCAGCCTCACACTACTTCACGTTTTATCGCACGCTGATGGAACGTTCAGTAAACTTCTGCGAACCGTGTACTACACAATTCCATGGTTTGAAACGTTCGGAAAGAATACTGAAGAAACAAATCAGCTATGATGTGAGACTGACTCGTGCACCTCTAGTCTCCTCGTAGATCGAAATAGAATTTTTATTAACAATTTAACTCAATTCTATCGAATATTCCAAAAACTTATCGAAAAAGTAAATTCGCATAACTTCATTATTTATCAAACTTAATCCATTGTTTTCTTTTCAAATGATATCTATCACTCCTAAAGAAAGTGATCTGGTCTTATGAGCTTCTTGACTATCGGACTTGACACCATCAGGCTTCTTTTTTAGTGACATATAAAAAACTGCATACAATCGATATCGCAAGATATGGTTGATATAAATGTCACACAAAAGCGCAAAGAAATAAAGCATTGACAAAGAAACATTGCGAAGTGTTTCTTTTCCGCGACTGATAAAAGATTGATTTTTGTATTTCAGTCGAAAGTGATAACTTTACGGATCTGGGCCCCGAAATCATTGACTTAGATTGTTTTCTTTCATAGAACGAGTATTATTGCTGTTCATCATATCAAAAAAAATTCGTTTCCTTCATGTCACAATATAACGAAGGTTATTTACTATAGAATGCATTGAAGTATTTAAACAACAATTATATCAGACTCCAAGAGAAGGTCATAGCAGAATCAGATGTCATCGAAGAAAGATCAGATAATCATAAGAGGTATTTATGCTTAACAATAAATATTGTATTAATCCACCGAAACAAATGATATGCATGATATTACGCTAGATCATAAAGATCAATGAATATTATATTTGTGACCCGAAACAATAGGAAAACATATCGGTACATTGAGAGCATAGGTGTATAAATTGGATACACTTATCGAAGGAAGAAAAGAAGAAAATAGTTATAACATGATACAAGCGCATGAGAAATATAAATATATGAATGTAATTGTTATTCAGCAATCTAGAAATAAAAGTTCTGGAGAGACATTGCAAAATAAATAATAATTCACAATTTGACCTTTTATTAATTTTATTAAATCAATCGATCTTACAGTAATAATTTCTAAAACTTCTTCGAGTTAAATTGAATTTAATTCACACAACTCAAAAACACCTTACAACTCAGTTCAACGGTTCCCAATTTTGTTTTTGTGAATTTGATTTAATTAGTTTCATGAATTGAATTATGTTTTCCAACTCTGGCTCAATGAGAGTTTAGTGAGTCTTCTACAAAAAAAAACCGTTTGATAAAACACAGTATTCTCCATTATGAGAAAAATTTCATTGGATATTGTAGAGAATACATAACGCGCCTGAACATTTCGAAAGTCAAGTGCAAGACAAAAATGTACTTCAAGAAAACTATCCAATATTCACGATGAATTCCTGTCACGTTATACTAAAAACAGAAATTATTTCAGAACTTTTGCACCATTTTCCTTGTGTCTACAATATTTAATATAATTTTCATACCAGTTTTATCGAAAAAAATAAATTTAAGTTTTTGTGTACCAGTCATTTCATATTTGTGTTTTGCATGTGGAACTACAAATAGTAAAAATAAAAAATTTAATTAATTTATAAATACATGAAAAATATACCTCGTGAAGATTCTTTCAAAACTCGATCTACATAAGCTTTACCACGTTTTTGTATTAAATAATCACATAATGGATGAAATACGGCATGTTCTTCGAACGGACAATCACTAAATTATATTAAATAAAAGTAAGAAATAAGTTACAGATATGAATATTATTTACCGTGGTTCAAAATCACAGAATTTATTACCACAATAATAACAACATACTTTGCCTTCACCCAAATAAATAAAACCAGCATCAGCCATTACTACACTGCACAAACGACTACCCCCTGGATACATCCAATTAGATTGAAATGATTGAATACGTTTTTCTACTGCCGAATACGATAGATATTCCGGATAACGCATGTGACTTGCATTCTACACAAAACAAAAACAAATTGTTTTACAAAAATAAGTATCATGAAGACCAAAAAGCTAATACCATTCTGACATTTGGGTAGAGTCCACCTTGTTCTCGTCTAACCCATAAGCACCATGAATGAATTTTACCCATCAATAGTCCATTTTCATGTCTATGTACCTGCATTGCTGTCCATGGTTCATCATTTAATAGCGAACCAGGAATAGACGGTCGTAGGCGCATTAGTCTTTCAAATTTTTGTTCGGTTAATTCAACAGCACACCACGGACATTTAACAATAGTACCTTCACCATTTAAATAAAATCCGGCATATGCAAGTTCACCAACCTTAACTTGAGCAAAAGTTTCACGATTATGTCTTTTAAATGAATCTAACCGATTAGATTCGTATGCAAAAAATGCACGAGGATCAACAGGTGAAATATCAGTACAAACAATATCAATGGGTGGCGATCTTTCTTCTATAGCCAATTGTTGAAATGGATTCGTCTGATTTTCTAGAATAGGTGATGTCCATCGGCCATTACCATCACTAGTAATAATATCAGTACAATCTTGTGGTGATGATATTTCATTAGATATTGCTATGGATGATGGTGATATGGGTGATTGCATCGGTGAAGTATGATCGATAAATTGTGATTTAAAGGGTGTAGCAACAGGTTCATAACCATCTTCATCAGAGTCAGAATAATCAGATCTATTTGGTTCAATTTCAGATGTATGATCAAGAATGCTTGAGGTTGTCGAAACAGATGAGAAAGAATCTAGAGTAGTTCGATTTGATATTAGTGATACTTGTGTATTATATGATCGTTGATATTCTATTTCATCTTAGCAAAAAAAAAACATATAGGAAAAAAATATAATTTAACTTTAAGTATAGCAATTACTTAATTTAGTACGATCAAGAAGTACTTGTGCTATATATTTAACACCTAATATTTCTTTTATCCATTCACATGTTGGATAGAAATGTGCATGTAATTTTTCTGTATCATATTGAGAATATTTTCCAAGTAGTTTTTTATCATTAATCGGTAATGAATTTCCACATTGAAAACATCTCATACGTTTCATTGCTAAATATATACAATAGATATATTTAATAAATAATCGAAATAAAAGAAAAACTCTTACTATCAAGAAAAAATCCAGCTTCTGCTCTTTCACGTATAAAATTATCCAAAACTTTATGATGTTCTTTATAATCTTCAAATGTTTTAATTCGATCAAATACGGATTGATAATTTGGATATTCTGGAAAACGTTTTCGATCTGGTATAGCAATATTCGTTGGACATTGTGCTCGAACTATAGTACAGTCAATCATTGAAGGTTTTTTTAATTGTTTAGCTAAAGCTCGATGTTGAGACATAATTGATGAATCAGTTTTTGGATGAATTAAAACAGCACAATATGCACAACGAATATTATTTGTATTTTTAAAACGATAAAAACCACATGCAGCTAATTCTTGACATAAACGTTCATCATTATCAGTTTCAAATGATAAACCACCAAGTGTTTGTAAACGCCATTTTTCATTAACACATTGAAAATCACCTGTTTCTGTACTAAGAATTGCTTGAATAATTTCACAATTATTTTGACGTTGTTTATGTGTACCAAATGCTGTCATACCACGTTGCCAATCATCGACTTCAAGATCACACATATAACATTTTACTCTTAATTCTTCACCTAAATAATAAAAACCAGTCTGGACTAAATCTTTAGGTGATATTGGAGCATAACTAGGCCAATTTTCAAATGTTGATAAACATTCATCAACTGATTGTGGTTTATTAGAAATTATTACTGATTTTGATGTCATAGGATTACGAGAACGACGTTCTAAAAATAATATACAAAAAACAAGTTAATTAGTTTTTAATGATTATTATTTCATTTACCTTGATCAGATACAACATGTAAATAACCAGCATTAGCTACAAATTTTCCACCAGCTATATATGTAATAAAACGACATGGAAAAAATCGAGAATGTTCAAGTTGAACAATATTTTTATTTGTATCATGAATTGCTTCGGACCAATTTGTTAACGTGTTACCACAATAAAAACAAGTAACAACATCATTAGGACCTGAAATCTTCGAGTTTTAGTAATAGTATAAAAAGTTTTAAAAAAAAATTTGTACCTGAAAAATAGAATCCATTGTTAGCCAATAATTGTGGTGTAACAAAAGTATTTGCTCTTTCTTGTAAATAAGGCCATGAATTAAATGTTTGAAGACGTACATTATAATCACTAAAATCTGGTTCTTCAGCATCATTCCATTGTAGTTTTTCTCTTTTTTGAGATTCTAATGGTGGATGAAGATCATCAATATTTGTACCAGGTTCACATAATAAAAATGTACAACGTTGACCAAGATGAGAAACTTTTTCTCGATGTAATTTTCGAAAATAATTTGAAGCATATGTAGCATTATCATCTAAAGATGTTAGATCGATAGTAACACCACATTGTGGACATAGACATTTTGTTTCACGATAAATAAAACCAGCAAGAGCTAATTGATGACGTGTTGTTAATGGAAAATGTAATAAACTAAATAAATTGAATAAAAAAAAAAAAAAAAAAAAAAAAAAATTATTGAATAAATTATGCATAGAATTACCTAGAAAATGTTTCTAATCGATATTTTTCTGATGCAAGAATATGATCAATAACAGGCGTTTCTAATATTATTGTCGTCATTATTAACAAATTGAGTATACTCTCACATTATCAATTGATAACTTGTTAACTTTCAAAATATTTCATATTCTAAAGGTAGATATAAAAAAATACATTATCAATTATTACATATATATATTTATTTTTTTCTTTCAACAAGGAAAAAAAGCATATGTGTCAATAAATATGATTTACGTTTTCTTCGTTCTCTTCTCTATACTTATCAGACAACGTAAAATCCTTCGAATAAAATGTACACGAATAAATTAAAATTTTTATTTTCCGTCTGACAAACCAATTTTTTTACCTTATCGTATGCATGACATCATTAGTTGCAACACTCAAGGAAAGCAAAACTATTATAAGTGTTATTCTTCTCTTTCTACTTTCTCTTTCATAATCTATACTTAATAAATATCAAACTGAATAACAACAACAAAAATCATTCATTGATTTAAATAAAGAGTCTTCATATTCTAAAATAAATATTCTATTTCTCTCATCGTACGAAAAATGAGTTGATTTAAGAATCACTTTAATCAATACTTGGTTACACGAGTACATTTTTTTTTTCATTGTATCAGAAAAAAAAGAAAATAACAGTTCATAAATACAGAAATTTATGGATCAAGCCGAAATCGATGTCATTCGTATGCATAAAAAGCTTTTTTCCAACAAGGGAATCTCTCGAAACGATACCCGCCATTTGATCTTGTATTGAATTGATAGAAAAATATTAGTGAGATTATAAAAAGTTTATAAGGGTTCGTCCCCATGAACCTTTGACATAGAATTATGATCAATTTGCTGAACTTTTGACTCATCTTAAGTACTTCCTTTAAAGCAAAATCGAGAATTTTCGATCTAAAATTTTGTCTATAGATGAGTTTAATGACACTTTGAAGAATCTAAAAGTTTCAACCGAAAAGAAACTTTCTTGTTCGAATTATTGAATTTTTAAGTGAACTCGACTTTTTGTGACTCAAGGCTATTTTTAGAAATTCAATATGTTGTAGAACAAACATTCTTTTCAACTGAAACTTTCAAAATATGTTAAGAGTCATTAAAAAACTCTATCGTCAAAATTTAGCATCGAAATTTCGTGATTTGGTGTTTTTTGGAGGAACTACGTATATATGCGTCGAAAATTCAATGAACCGGTCATAATTTAGTGTCAACAGCCTACAGGGACGAACCTTTTCAGTTTTTATTAACTTCTTTGACAAGGAAGCCCTCCAACTGTTTAGTCACGTTTAACTCTAAATTATTTGCATTAAGTAGATACAAATGAGCTATGAATACTCTGAAAAGAGTTCATGCTCTTCGCTTATTACTGCGAAGACACTACAATTTACGGTATTTTTTTTTCAATGAATGGCATGATAATAGAAAAATTGACATTCGAATTCCTACTTGAAACTTTAGTCTTAACGAGAGTAATTTTTTGTGAAAGTTTCAGATCTTTAGATCTTCCTCTGTCCTAAAAGAAGAGCATAAAATCTACAGCTTTATATATGTGATGTAAAAGACACACTATCGACATAATTGTATCTTAGCGACAAGACCTGAAACATTCACAAAAAGCTACTCTCATTATGGTTGCTCTCTATGCAAATTTTCAAGTAGATATTCTCAAATTAGTTTTTCTGATGTTTCTGCTGGATACGACATCTTTTATTAAGAGAATAGTGTGACATTGCAATATTTACGCAGCAATACGCTAAGAGCACGAACTATCTTCAGATTATTCATGGCTCTTTTGTATCTATATAATGCACACAGTCTAGACTCAAAATTAATTATACAATTGAATGACCTTCCTCGAGAGACTTGCCTATAGAACTAATATAATCTCAAACCGCAAATGTCCATTGAGTTAGGTCCCTCATAATAATAATCGAGGCACTCCTTAGTGCTCAGCACACATATAATCCATTTTATGATTTCTTCGAGAAACGTTGATAAAAAAAAAAGCACAGAACAAGCTTTTTTGTGAGAGATATTCTAAATACGACTAAATCTCATATAAAGCCATCCTCTCGTTATGACATTTTCTTTTCTGCGTACGTTTATTTAATATGCCTGAATCTGTCAGACATGACATATTTCAATTCAATTACACAAGAATTAGAAAAATAGAATTTCCGGTGTAATTAACTTTTTATATCTGTGACTCCTAGCAACCACCAAAGAGCTGCGGCTCATACTCCTCTCTCTGTACATTGTAAAGTCTATCTTTAGTGTATGTTTTGACACCACTGGAAAAGACGTGCAGACTTAAACATTTATCATAAAGAAAACCATCTAGAGAATGTAAATCTAAAATGACAAGAAAAGTTTAAATATTTCTTTTTATTTTCTCCGACCAAAACAATAAACCAGATATACTTTCATCAGCATGACATCATGTTGAGCACTATGTTCTAACGACTATGCATACTGTGGAACACTACTGAGTACAAAAATTATTATAAAAAACGAAGTTCTTTATTTGAATTAATGAAGTAAACTTTGACGCGATCTGAAAACTCTATAGAGCGAAATTCCGGTTTCCCATTTTAGTGATTACACAATAATAAGGATTAAAATCGTGATAGACAAAGTAATCTTTTGATCATTTAATGAAAGCAGCAATTTCAATTTTGTGAGCATCACCCTCTCCGATTATTATTAAAGCTAGAGAATAATTCCCACCTTCATGTAATTCATTCATAAGGTACATAACTATCATCATCAACATAATTGAATCTACAATAAATTTCGCATTGAAACTCTTTTTTTTTGTCACAATATATGAAATAAAAACGATATCTGTTCATTTAAAATATTCTTGACTTTGTTTTTTTTTTTCTTAATTATACTTATACATATTTATAAATAGGACCGCCACACTTAATAAAACTTCACAAAGCAGATGTACAACATAAAAATTAAAACAACAATAATTATAAATAAATGATATACATTTCACAATACAATAAGACACATTGACTAAAAAAAAAAGAAAAGAAAACAAACTGATTTGGCATTTTTTTTTGTGTATGTATGGATTTGCTGATTGATTTATGGCAGTTATGGTGGGTAAAAGAAAAAAAAATAAAACAACTAGCCAACTTTATACAAATTAAAATGATTAAAACACAAATCACCGTTAAAAGTTTATTCTCGTTGTTGTTGTTGTAATAAATCATGAATTATTTCTGTTTCTTCAAAAATAAGTTGTTTTAATTGTGGTAATGGTAAATCATCAAGCTCCATATCAAATGTAAATGGATGGGGAGCTATTGGTTCATCTGATGGATCATAATATTGAGCTAGATATGGATGTTTAAGAGCTTCTTCAACTGTAACACGACGATTTGGATTGAATGTTAGCAGATAATCAAGCATATTAAGTGCTAAATCAGATGCATTTGGATATAATTGTTTCCATGGTGTTCGTTTACGAACAGGTAATAAACTAACATAATTACGAGCTCGTTCATTAACTAAAATAAATATTAAAATATGAGTAAAATCATTTGTTAGCGACATGACATTGCAAAATTAAAACACATATGTATATCTCGGAATAATGAACTTTCCTAAAACTAAATCTTATATGTTACATGTTAAGATACTCTAGACACTTTTACTTCATACATTTTCGTTTGAAAAAAAAACTCACAATTAAAAAAGTATTTTTAAGAATTAAATAGTACATTCTGTAGAAAGTGCTTGATGCTATAAAATCTCTATCCAAAGTTTTTTCTAAGCATGCCTGGACCCTTTTTAAACAAGTCGATTTACTTTTCATTAGCAATGTGATGGAATACGACAAAAGGCTCTTATTACTGAATGAGAAGTTCAAAAACCATTCAAAATGGTACAAATTTTCCTTCAATATGTGTAGAAAATTGGATTTTTTTTTCTTAGTTCGATCTTATAGAATATTCCATCATAGTTACAGTTTATGCTGTATAATCTATCCTGAAGTTTTTTGGAGTTTTTTCTCGTATACTTAGAGAGATATTCGCGAATTACTTTTTAAATTAATAGTTATCTGAATAGAATCTGTCAACTTCAAAATTTTCAAACTCGAACTAATTCAATAGAATCTACAGCTGAAGCAGCTAATATTTTTGCATATGTCTATGATAAAAGAACTTATTCAGACAAATAATCCTTATAGAGACTCAAATTTAAATGATAGATGGGTATATTTCGGTTTTCTTGAAATGTTAGATATATATGGTAGTTGAATTTTATACTTACCAATAGATGTTAAATCACCTTCATCTGGTGAGCCAACTACATTTAAAATTAAGTTTATTTGTTCAATATAATGTTTACCAGGAAATAAAGGTCTTCAAATTAAGGAAAAAAAAAAATATTATATTTATATTTACTAATAATTATTTATTTAAATAACTTACTTTCCTCCAATCATTTCAGCTAAAATACAACCAACAGACCATATGTCAATTGGTTTATAATAACCACGTGCATTGAGCATGATTTCTGGAGCACGATACCATCGAGTAGCAACCTAAACATTTTCAACTAATATTATTTTAATATTAATAGAAACTTATTTACATATTCTGTCAAGAGACCCGAATGATCTTTATTTGGATCAGCTATTCTTGCAAGACCAAAATCACATATTTTTAGGTCACAATTTGTATTTAATAATAGATTGCTTGGTTTAAGATCACGATGTAAACTAAATTTAGATTAATGTTTCAATAAAAGAAAAAAAGAAAATAACTTCAATGAATATTTGCATACACATTAGCTGAATGAATATATTTTAATCCACGTAAAATTTGATATAAAAAATAACAAATATGTTCATCTGTTAAACGTTGATGACGTAATAATTTATATAAATCACATTCCATAAGACATTGCACTATATAAATATCTTTCATTTGATCAATTGTTGGTGCACGCATTACTTCTTGTATATTAATTATATTTTCATGACGAAATCTTGATAAAATTTTTATTTCACGTAATGTACGTTGACAAAAACATTG